AACAAAGCAAATAGCAAGGAAAACAACAGCGAAATGCACAGCAGCGATTAAAATAACAAAAGAGAGCAGTTGGTAGCGAAAGCTCTGGAGTGAGACGGCATTGTAATGTGCCTAAGTATATGAACTTACATACAAACATATATGGAATCATTTGCGTTTACGGGCCTTGATGAATAAGAAATCTAAGCGACACAAAATCCATTAAAATATTTAATCCTTTAACAAGGCAACAACGATGTTTATACTCTTATGTTAGCGTGCGTGTTACTTAACACTCTGCACAACTTGTGAAACGTTGGTTAACAATTTTGTTTAGACCAAAGGGGGTTTAATATCATATTAAAGCGCTGAAAAATTACAGTAATGCTGGTTATAGTACGCAAAATTTATTTGTCAATAAACTGGCCGGAATCAAGGTGTTAACGGTTAACTCACCAAACAGAGACAAAAGTCTTTCAAGGCAACTATCTTGAAAGCTGTTTTCAGTCTTTCAAAAGATCAGTTGAAAGATCTGCTAACACGGGGATCTTTGGAATTATTCTATTTGTCGTTTAGAAATAAGTTTTCTAAAAATTTAAAAATATATATTTCTTTTAGCAATGTTTATACCACGATTTCTTTCTTAGGAAAAATTTAAAAGTTAATATTAAATTAAATTAAATTAAATTTTTCTTGAGACAATAAATATTAAAAAATCAAAGAAAACTAAACAAAATATGTGACACGTAAAGTTAAAAGGGACCTACGGTCAGAAAAAATCGGGCCGCTCTTTCCAATGCAATAAACCGCACCTTTCTAGCTGCATCAGTTTTTTCACAATTTCACTTCAAAGTACTTTAGGTACTTTCACAAAAAAAAAAGTACAAAAAAATCAAATCTGACGAAACTATTCTGAAATTAATTACATTCGCTTGAAACTTGTTAATGGGGGGTTTTTGGGGTCGCTGATTACGAATCCGATGTTAGTTTTTCAAAATTCGGTGTCAACGACATTTTTGAGTTTCACAATCCCAACAAATTTTAAATCTTTTCCGCCATATTCGAACGTCGGATTCGTAATCGGCGACACCAAAAACCCCCGAGTAACGAGTTTATGTTTTATCTGCTTCCTGATGGTATATCTGCTTCCTATGCTCGCTACTGTAATGTCTGATGTAATTGTGAGTTCCTATCAATGTAACAAATAATAAAGCAGATTTGTCTTCAATACTTAAATTGTCTGCTGTAGCCGTCTTTTACGCTTTATTTTACATTGGGAGCCTTCGGTAAAGTAGCTGGACAATTTCACTGCAAATCACGGGGACGACGTTTACTCTTATTTTGCTTAGCATCGACATTTTCCTGTTCCCCATCGATCTGGTCCTTCTTCTCCTCGATTTGCTCTTGTCTCTCTTTAAGTTGTTTTGTGTATTTAGTTCCTTAAATAGTGTATTATCTCTGACTAAATCTCTGACTTGTGAGCATCCACATGAGTCAACATATCAGCCAGAGTCAGTTACGCTTTTAATGCCCATATTTGAACAAACAGCCTCTTATTTTCCCAGCCCTTCGTAGATGCCTCTTTAGATCCACGGTGGAAGACGTATTCGTACACATTGATGCCTTGCTTTTCCAGAGCCTCATGCAAACATAAACTGTATCCCGAAGTGAATAAACTTCGCTTTGCCAATTCCTTTTTGGGTTTTTCTATTTCGAAACCGTTCTCTTGATTGATTTTATTTGTTGTTGCAGTTTCGCTTATTTAGCCAACGATCGGTTTAATCGCTGGATTGTTAAATAAAACGCTCACGATTTTAGAACAATCGTATTAAGTTCCTTCACGTACGTCTTTGGAACATGATGTACGATGGAGTACCGCGACTGCGGTTCCTGAAAGAGGTAACGACAGTGGGGTTTGCTGATGGCATAGCTATTACCTTAGCAGTGAAGCATTTAAATGAAATCATCGCAAAAATGATAGTGTCTGAGTGACTTGACACAATGGGGCTCAATTCACACAATTCACTGGAAGGAAGATCCACCAGACATGGAACATGGGTACTGTGAAATTTACCCAAAACCTGCGATAAGATATCTTTGTGTAAAATTGTCGCGAGATTAACTTTCAAGAATCATCTCGAGTATGTCTGCAAGAAAACGAGAAAGGTGTGATGCGCCCTCGCGATAATGATGCTATACCTCCCAGGGCCAAAACAAGCCTGCAGAAGACTGCTAGCCGAAGTTCTAAAATCGGTGATACTCTATAGCATACAAATATGGAGCAATGCAGTGGAAGTAAGATCATATACTACAAGTCAATCTGCCGGCTATGTGCGCTAAGGGTTTGCTTCGCATATAGTACAGTATCCGAAAACGCTGCACTAGCAATGTGGTAGGACCAGTTTTTTGCTTTCTAAATTATAATAATTTTAGGCTTTTCGTTGTCCCTGCTGATGCAAAAGGTATCTCCCCTTGATAAATTCAATTCAACTAATTAAGAGATAAAATTTTACACCAGTTTAGCCTGAAGCCAAATTCCAATTCCAAATCCATCTAAAATCAGCCTTAAGTGACTCAAATAAGGTTTAATGACTACTTAGCGGCTTTGTTTGTTTATTTTATGGTAATTTAATACTTAACAACTCGCTAACGCCTTCAGCAATTTTTCAGTTAACATTCGAGTCTCAATATTTTGTCAGTCAGTTTTGATGCGTCGCCCATTCCAACAACAAACTTTGGTAGAAACATACATACGATCTCTGAATCTATGAGTATTAAGGTAAGCCAGTAAGCTACTTTCAGTATTATCCGCATCGTACGTTGAAAAGCTTGCTAACAACACAATAACAAAATAAACGGTTTAAAGTCGCAACTAGGGTTGCTTTTACTCGTGGTAATCCTTCAGCGCAGAAAATAAACAATCATACCACAACCGATAGTGAGAATAGCGAAAGGGAATAATCGACTTTTGATTGGCATATGAACTTCAAAATGATTATATCAAAGAATGCACTGAAAGTGAAAGCCGACCAACTTGCAAAAATGAAATAAATACCTGATATACTACATACAGGTATAAAGAGTGTAACAGTTAAAAAGTCTTCGGAACAACCTCAAGACATTCAAATTAAAAGATACGCCGTGTTATAGTAAAACGTACAAATTTCTTCACCTTCTCATTCTGCATTTTAACAGACTAAAAAAATTACGAATTAGACGAACACCGTATAATTATATACACCTTTGGCATGCTTGTTACGGAAGCTCTACATTTCACTGCTACCAAAGCTCCAAAACTAAGTTCGAACTTTACAGCAGTAGATCTAATATATAACATATGAAATATAGATTATATAAATCCTCTACACTGTTTTAAAACAAATCATCCATAAGAATCCCAGTTAGAAACGCAAGGAAAGTCGACATAGACCTACGGAGAAGCAGAGTCAATGAAGAACTTTTTTGTTTTTTCTAGGTTAAAAAATATAGTAGGAAAGGACATTAACTCCGGATAAGTCGCACTAAACCTCAGTGTTCGTTTTTCTGACAGAATCAACTGCAATAAAGAGGCGCTCTGTGGCTGATAACTTTCGCATCTACAGATCGTTCATTCGCATCTGGCAGTCAGGCTGCAATTAGATCTCTTAACTGCAGCTACACCAGGTCCATAGTGGCTATTAAGCGCGGAAGGATACAAAACAGATAGCATCATATCCTACCTTTTGTATGGTCGATCAGCAGGTTAAATAATAGGCAAAGTGGTAAACTATGCTAAGTACAGGTTAAAAGTGGTTTTCATGGCTGAACGACGTCAATTACTTAGCGCAGGAAGCTAGATACTTGATAATAGTCTCGGATAGAATTATTCCCGAAAAACGAATTCGGACTACCCTCTATGCCTGCAAGTCTGCTATTTATAAAAAATTTTACATAAAACAACGACAGTGAATATACGCAGCAATGACTTAATCTATTATGTCGCACAGTTTGTAGTGCTGTGCTGAGTGGCTACTTTTAAGTATTGATCAATACTCGGTACCGATTTAAAAAGTATCCAACGCTTTCGATACTCGATACCGAAATACTAATTGGGATTTCTAATAAGAGTCCGCAACCACAATGCAAATCGTAATAAATATTCCTTAAATAGAGAGTTGCCATAAATATTACGAATTAACAATGTTGCCACAAGAACTCTTGCAGTTGGTAAGACTGTGGCTATAAGTACAAGAAGCCTCAAATACTGACATAGATACACATTGTCATCTTTTGAGGATACATCGTCTTATTTGTACCTTCATTTATTTCAGGCGATGTCATATAAAATAGCAGTGAAATATTTTTTTTCTGCAAACTTCAAATGTATGCCCTTGGGGTCAGATGATTAAATTAAGTGACATTTTGGCCAGATTTGGCTATTTTCTTTGTCTATTAATTATTTATACTTTTTTTTATAAAAGTTTAACACATAACATAACCAACACCACATAAAGCCACATTTCAAACTTCGTGTAAAATTTATTAAATTTAAAAAAATTTAACAATTACACCCAAAAATTTCAAGCTTTTTTTGCAGTTTTGTAGCCAATTAAATTTTAGTAGGTTAAAGGGTAATTTCAAGAAGCTAAAAATAGCGTGGATTTTTAATAATTTGTTTGGCTGACAGTATGTTCGCCAATTACTTTTATATTGACGAAAATGCCTAGCACCGTCAGCAAAAAAAATATATTAAAAATCACCGCAATTTTCTAGCGTCTTAAAATTTGCAGTTTAACCTACTGAAATGTAATAGGTTATAAAACTATAAACCTACCTAGTAGAATTGACAATTGTCGCACAAAATACTTTTGTCTTTCAAAAGACTTTGGTGAGTTGAAAGACCACAATTGATTTGAGGGTGTGCCTACATCCGGAACCTTCGTTCGATAGTTGAATATGTACTACATACATATATTCTAAAGCGGTCGATCCACGATTATCCACTGAAAAAAGGTAAAACCTCAAATGCCTAGTCGAATTACCTGGAAACTTGAACGGCAGTCCACCCATCAGAGGATCACCAGGGCCGAAACGTTGTGGTCCGAAGGCAAACGGATGAAAGCCTTGATGCCGTATCTTAGAGCGTGGCTCGCGCGGTCCGTCCACAGTCACTTTGATCGCCTTATTGTAAGTGGCGATCTGTATGGGGTTAGTTGATATCACAATGCTCAAGGTGAAGCTTTTGCCTGCGAGAGAGAAGAAATTTGGAAAACTTTGAACAAATTAATTAAAAGCGTGGATAATATTACATAAATTATGCCCGAAATTGCATATTTCTAAAGAGGTAAGCATTCAAATTTACAGCACGCGAAATAACCGCCTAATGCCGCCATAAATTATATAACCGCACATGGAGCAACGCCCGCCACGGCTCCCTTCATAGCTAAGCCACCTGATCCCAGCTATAGCCTTTTTCGCGCTAAAATTTTAGCATTCCCAGCGTTTATATTACAGTTTTTATTATATGTACATACATATACATACATACATTTAAGGACATTAGGGTGCATCACTCCCCAAACAACAAAATCGGTGGGGCTTTTCTATTGGAACTAGAAAATTTATTACCTTATACGACATCCGCTAAAATATTTCCAAACAAATATTAAAATTTACGTTAGCTGACCTATTTGAAAATACCTCCGAAAGTCGAGTTTTTTGTAAATAAAATTATAAAATTTTCGTTTAAGCTTAAAAGGTGTCCACAGGCAAGTTTGGGTTCTTAAGGGTTAAGTATTTTATCAACGGAATAAAAATTTTTAGATTTTTGGAGGTATTTTCAAATCGGTACAGCTAACGGAAATCTTAATATTTTTCCGAAGTCTTAAAATATAGCAAGTTTTATAATTCCGGTGGAAACCCACATTTTTTTGGTGTTGCACCCTATTCGCACACATATGGATCTAAGAATACTGATATAGTAGCAACTACAAAATCGCCGCTATATTCTAAACAAAGCGCTTCGCATGCAAATTGCCTGCATTTGTTGCAAGTTGCGGTGAGTGTGCGAAACATATGCACAAATCTAGTTACATACATATATACATATGTATGAATACTATCTACGCATTCAGAGGAGCGTGGGCGCACTCGGTAGCATCATAACGCATTCATGTGCATGGCGCAACGCAATTATTTTATGAATTTATGGATTTTCTATTTGCACATACCCCCCGCCTCCGCCTCCGCTAGTGAATTTTGCAAAGCAACGCATACAGCTAATAACAGATTTGTAGTAGCTAGCACACTACCTTGGCGCTTGCAGCAGTTTGACGGCGCGCAATGAACTTGCAAAATCATTAAATTAACCCCAACATAAAACGCGAAAATATTCGCAAACCATCGTACCTACACGCAACCACCCGTATCCGGCCCCTTCTTTCCAAAACTACATACATTCACTGCCATACTGAAATGGAAACTGAAATTGCAAAGGAGACAATGTGGCAGCCATGCAATCGCATGCCCTCATTTGCTGTGCTGCGTCCCGCGTGTCGTGCGTCCACACCCACACACAGCTGCTACCGTTCACGCTGCTGCTGCTGTTGGTGATATAAAATTCTGAAATTTTTGCAAAAGAAAATGAAGACATAAAATTTTCAAATGTTCCAAAATTCCGCTGATTTCCCTTTTATTTGTGGCAATTTGTGGCGCGCACATACTAACACTAGTGCGAGCAATGCATTGGCAAACCAACAGTTGCAACCCTGCAGAGAAAAGCTTAAAAATCAAAATACACCACTTCGCATTACTTTTCTGCTCATTTTTGAGAGATGAATTGCCTTCGCAGAATTTACTCTGGATGAACTTGTAAGAATTCTTCTTTATACACGAACTAATCAGAGATTGGAAGGCAATCCGAAGAGTGCAATTGTTGTAGTTGTTGTAGCGGCTACTGAACCCCGCTCGGTTTGGTTCATCCATCAACGTTATCACCGATTGGTTTGCCATCGACGTGAATACCCAGTTGCAGTCTTACCTCCGTCGTCCAGGTGGTGAATAAAGTTGCCGAGGATAAGACTCCTTGCAGTGAAGAAGCCAGAAAGCTCGTCGAGATAACCGTTTACTTTTGAGCACAAGTCCTCAATTCCATTCCCAGGCGCCATTGTCGAGCAATCGTCAGCATAAGAAACAATAGTGACTCCCCGAAGAGTGCAGTCATATATATTGCCATGCTTTAGAAAGTTATGTATTATTTTAGTTGGCGATAGATAACTGCGGTCTTTTACTATGCTGCCTTCATTAACTTGTAGTCGGTCTATTAATTCAGTATCCGAAAAAAATGTTAATATTAAGTCTACGTGAACCTCTTCGCATCTTCGGTTATGTAATCCCCAAGTGTATTTTGCATTTTTGGATCCGCGGATTACACCGTTCCGTTATATAGTTTAGTTAGAACAACTGGGATAATTCTTAAGTTATATAATATATATAATAATGTTCCCACAACCATTGTGGCTGAGTGGTTAGAGGTGCGTACCTCCAATCCATAGAACCTGGATTCGATCCCTGGTCCCAGCAACATAAAAATTAGCAAACGTTTTTTTTTTTTTACAGCGGTCGCCCTTCGGCGGGCAATGGCGAACCCCCGACTGTATTTCTACCATGAAAAAGCTTCTGACAAAATCCATTTAAGGTTCATATGTGGCGGAAAACTGTAGGTCCCTCCATTTGCTTAAACCCAGCTGCAATAAAACCAGATTGTATGCAGCGCATTCCTGGAAAGATGCCAGATTTATTCGTTGGACAATTCTGATTATTATTCCAGTTAATTTCTGAGCAACAGTTACAGCAGTGGGATGGACTTGATATTTAAAGCTTCCTGCAGTCTGAACTATTACATGCGCCTATCTACAAATGGTCTACATGTCATCATAGTGTCATTTATTTTATAGCCAAACTACGTTCGGATCTTTGCGCGTTTCCTTATTCTTCATCGTTTGCCGACTCACTCTTTGGGTTACTAGGAAGGTTTTGCTGAGAAAATATCTAAGTCGCTAGCCACCCTGCATTTTCCCTCATTTAGTGAAGTTGCAGATACTATTGCTGGGCGTTGGGTAATGAGGACACACCGCCACTACACAGATTAGTAGCCTCGTAAATGTATGAGCGAAAAAGAAAACATCAACTGCGATGAATCATGTGCTATCTCAGTATGCCGATTGGCCTAAGTGTGTTCCACTGCTGATAACAAAGAGATTAATCTTTTGATAGTTTTGCAAGGGGTAAGGTTCAATAATCTAACCCAAAACCGTCAGTGTTAGTCTTTAACCCAATTAAACCCCCTACCGTCAAGGTACCGTTTCTTATTCTGTCTTTTGTTTCACCAGTTCGCTCAAAAACCTTGAAATTCTGAAACGCTTATGGAGCTTTGAGCCACCCTGCCGAGTTAAGGCATTTTTGACGTATAGAAGGACAGCAAGACAATGTTCCATGATGCCTGCTTTCCAACGTTTTCCGAATATTACATTCGCTAGGGGAGTTTTCGAAGGCCAAACTGGTTCGGAGCAAAGCTTCCATATATGATGTATTTGGGAACGAATTTTCTTATCCATCGACTCGTGTCTGAGCACCAAGTTTTGGTGCCTCAATCGTCTAGGAAACATATTCTCATTCGCGCAGAAGTCAACAAGTTTGACGAATGTTTGCGGATAACAATCTAGAGACTCTATCTGAGCAATATTTGGAAAGGAATTTTTTCAGCGCAAGGAGTGGCTTCTGAACCCAGAAGAGTGTATCTATAATCTGCCCTAAGAAATGTTCCGAGGTAGAAGATCCGTTTACCCTGCTGATTAGATTGTTACAACTCTGAATGCTCTGCGTATCGCATTATAGCGGAGATAAGTTACATGCTGCCAGTCTGTTAGTTCTCTTTTGAAAACATCAAGCCCGGAGCCCCGCAATTACATTATTCGACTCTAGAGCCATCGAAGCATCGCAGGGTTTAATAGTCGTTGCGATTAATCGCCCAACATTACTCTACCATATCGGCTATCGCGATTGCGAGAACAGTGGAAGTGAAGTTCCACCTTTTCACAACTTTCGAATGAAATACGCAACAGAGCAAAATCTCTATTTCCCAAGACAACGCTGTGTTAAATTCTCCAATATCTTACAATGATAAGAAAACTGACGCCAGCTAATCAAAGTTCTAAATACTCTAAAATCACGCCAGTTTGGTACTGGTCGATTTTTCTAAAGGGCAACAATTGCTCACCCCCATATACACCCGCGTACACACGGTTTTATTGCCGCTCGCCATTAACGCCGCGTTGCGATTCCAATTGTAATGCCGGAAATGCTGAAGTGTGACTAAGGAATTCACAACCTAGCACACACACACTTCTACCTATCCGCGCACATACATAAATTTATGCATAACCATTTAGCAATAAGTATAGACGCACTGGCATATTCGCAGCTCCACAATTCGCATAGATCCAACAACGCAGACATATTTATACCATAAATTTGCAAATAAGTATATACATATATAGCTAGTTATGCTTTTAGTATCGTTGCATTTGAACGTACGTACGTAGGTACATATAGCTTCACTCCTCTTCCAAACATCACAGTGTGTTATTGCCTTCACAGATATGAATCTAAAAAATTCATAAACTGCAGTTCATCCTTGCTACGCGTTACCAACCGTTCTCATAGCAACCATCCCTTCGGCGCTTGCCACTCGGCAATGTTCCTGGCGCGATGTGGGAATTTCACTCACTTATTGTTTCATTTCAAATCTCGATATGTCTGACTGGTTTGTCATTTATGCATGGCACTAACTTTATTACTAGCCGTTAGAAGTCTCTCTGGGTGGGGTGTTATAAGGATTCAGATTCATTAAATTTTTCTTTTGGAGAAAGTTTATTTTAGTACGTCAAAACCATCTGAAAGTATAATGGAATTACTTAAAGATTTTGATAGATTCTAATAGACTTCCACTTCCTGGATGTGTCAATAAAGTCTCGTAGCAGAATCCCCTAACATTTACAGGCAAAGCATTTCAGTCTACGTAATCGCCACTGAGGATAAGATAAGTAGCTTGGACTAATAGATCCTTACAACCCTTTAAATCCTCGGGCGGTTCGGTTGGAATCGTACTATACATGGCACAATGAAGAATAACTGACTGGCTAACGACTATTTACAGCGCTTATCTCCTCCTTAGCTAAATATGTAT